TTAAAAACTCGTGGCCCCAACATTGGAGCCGCCACACTTAGGTCGAGAGCATCTAGACATGGCGAGAGGTTTGTTTATTATGTTGGACATTCAGACCTGCACAGTGTCGCAATTTCTCTGATACGGATTGACACTCTCACTCGCTCCCACCGGTACTCATGGTTCTCTGTTTTCGTTTGCTTGCATTACCTCCATCCTCTAAAGGCGCAGCCCTATGGTGCTCCGTCCTTGGTAGTTACCTCTTCTTCCGTTTCTAGTCCCCGTTTTTTATCGCCCATGTCACATTGGACCTGCACCGATCGACTCCATAATAGTCGCTTTACTCGTCTGTGTAGGGTTTGGGTCCGTGAACTGCAAAGAAAACTCTCTATATCAAGGACATTTCTCAGTAGTGGCTGATCTAAGGTAATTGCGTTCACATTATACTTATGACAATATTGATCCTAATGATGTGACGGGCTAGCAGCGAGCATTTCTGTGGACAAGTTCTCGTCTAAGCTCGACGGTACCACACGTCACCGCACAGTCACTTCCTCTTTCGCCACTCTCAAATTCGTCTAGTAGCGTGCTATAATTTACTCCTGTTTTTGTTTTTGTGGTTATTACTATCAGAGGCATATTTTCAGGACATGAATCCTGGATTTCTCTTATTTCTACTTTTTTTTGTCAAAGTCTTTGTGATTCTCATGTAGCCACTCATGTCTTACACCGTAGCGTTTCAGTTTACTCAAAGAGAATAACTTCCTCGTTTCTCTATCATAGATACCACAGTTCTGCTGCGAGAACTGCCTCAATATATAATATCCGGTCTTTGCATTATTTAGATTTTTTAAATTCTTTTAGTATTGGCTGTTTTACATCTTTTATCCCCCAGACATCTGCCTCAGCTTCATCCTGCTCTAGTTACAATATATCGATAATACGTTGTCGCGTATGTGCTTAGGTGACTTAGATTATGCAGTTTTGATGTGCGCAGATCTCCTCTCTAGAAGCTACAACCAGTTGTCGCAGTTATGTTTTGAGGGGATTTTTCAGTGCTTACTTGCTTTTACTTTTTGGTTTTGCGCGTGAGGAATGCGCACTCGCTGATAGAAATCTTTATATGTGGCCCCACGCCCAGGGAGTAGTTGCTCTATGGTCTATATCTGCCTCTCGCGCTCAGCAGCCTGCTGATATATAACCGAGCTAAACCCTATGATTTTGTTATCCCTTATTACGTCTTGTTTTATCATCAGGTATCTTACTCGATGTTGGTTCTCGCTTTTTGCACACCCAATCTCACAACCACGGCCATTTTCGTAGTCCAATGGATACCCTAAGCTGATAGTAGATAGAGTACATAGATTGGTAACACGCGCTCCTCACTCAGCCTTAGCCATCTAATGTGTCACACTCAGAAGTTTAGTTACTGGATCTGTAAAGGTAGAATCCGCGAAATCTATGACTCTTTAGGTAAAACTTACGTGGTCGGACCGGGCATATTTGTGGAACCTGATACCCTACTCTTTTCGCTCACAATTAGTTACTTCAAGTTATGTAGTGTTGTTGGGTTAAACCCATTTTGATTGTGTATTCCTCGCATTATTATGTTATTTGTTAAGTCTAATGCTGCTTAAGCAATCCTGTGGGAACCTAATTCCGCCTTAGGCTATTGTTTTGCCGGATCTTGTGGGTTGTCACTCTGTCTCTCCTTTACCTTTGTGGTGTGCACACATTCACGTGAGTTATTTTGACGTTGTACTCATTGTTGTTGTTTTTTTACCTTTTATTTTTTTGTTGATTTATAGATCCTCGGTTATGTCGCACGCTAAAATAGAAGATTCTCCGCTTTTCATAGCAGACATAGAATTCCTTGATTTAATTCTTGATCAGCTTGTATCATATTTTGGGAACCCTTGATGAGCTCTGTTTTTTTTCTCTTGGGTTAAACGCCGGGCCACTAGAGTCACGTATGTCCGATTATATTGATGCACATAGCTGTTTTTGGTCTCTGGAATCGTATGGTAGTGACGTGCTCAGTGAGAAAACGGATTTTTGTAATCAAAGACACTGGCCACTGACTATGTCTGATACTGGTTTGGTTATCTGTGTCGCTACATCCATGCATGTCCTTCTGGAAAATTTTCCTCCTCGTCATCCTGTAGTTACGGTTCGGGTTTGAGGTTTGTTGGTGGTTGAACTTATTAGAGCAGTATGGATGTTATCCTATTAGTATATCCGATCTGTGGTGTATTTTTTCATCTCGCTAGTCACAATCACTGGTTCCTTTGTTGGAGAGATAGGGTAGGGAGATTGCTGGTCCACGACGCCAGTGTTTTTATTATTTTTAGATCGCTCAAGGATCATGATAGTGGGAATAGTCATCTTGGCCCTCTCATAGATAGATGTCCTGGTAGGAGTCAATGCCGTGTCGGAAGATATCGTGGTTATATTGCATTATGACTTATAGACTGTGAGATAAGAAGTGTGCAACTCGTGAATAATTGGAATGCTTACCAGTGCCTTGAGCTATAGACGGCGTACTTACCCGGTATTCCGGGGTAATCTCTTACGTTGGAGAAAGTTAGTATAATTATCATTATACTATTTTTAGATCCAGATGCGGGAAATTCTCATCGAGGTTTCGACTTATAATTGTGTCGTCTTTTCTAACTTAGGTTAATTTTTTTTGCAACGTCATTTTTGTTTAGTAAATTGGTACCATCTTTATTGATCTCGCTCATTTAAAAAATTCGTCAAAGGAAGTTTTGTAACTTGACAAATCATTCTCCGGAGGTTCGTATAAACTAGAGCGGTATGACTCTATACGTTGCAAAAGAAGATTTGCAGGCATATTAATGGATCACTACTGTTTGACTGGACTGCTCAATATTTGAGTAGAAATAATGTATTTTTACCTGAATTGTTCCCACGACTATTTTTTTGTTACTGTCATGTGATATGATATCGCTAAAGTACTCCTTTTTGAATTATAGTATTGCCTTAGGCAAGAACTTCTGGATAGATCGTCTTGAGTGAGCAGGGCTGCGGGATGGCGGTCAGATTATACAGTTGAAATCTCAGCAGCCCACTGGGAAATGGGCCATATTAATTTGTTCATTATTTTTTTTTGGGTTTCAATCACTATTATCCAACACAACTCAGTGGCTTCTAACGTCTGAATTGGTCCAGAGATCTCAAACTGCTTTTATCGGTTGTGGTACACTCACACACTTTGATTATGTGTGAAGACTTCACCACACGTATACCAATATCAGAGTAGGCAGTAGCAAGAAAGGATACGCTTGCATATGCGCTCATCAATTTCGCCCTCTCTTCTGGTTTATGCCGTAATATAACTTGCGTCTATTATTGTGGAGCCTATTCTAGGACTGTTCACCGTCCCACTTGTAAATAGTAAAACCATGCAGCAATGCGATCTGGTATAGTTTAATCCGAGAACGCTGACAATAGTAGCCATGTTGTCGCTAAGTTTGAAGCAGCTAACCATGTTTACACACTATTACGGAGGAAACGCTAAGCATATATATATATTACTTTTGCGATGTGAAATGTGGCCTATGGCCTTCTTCTACATTGAGGCACGGATTTTGTGGGAAATGCTCACTCATTTGTATCTAGGTACACTATGCCTGACTTTCAGAGCGGGTGTCAAGATATTAATAGAAGCGACCCACCCTCGTTATTGACATATAGATCTGTGCATTGTAATTGTCGTTGTATATCTCAAATCTTCTAAGCCGCATGTGGTAGTACTTATGGTAGATATATGATAGAGAATTCCGGGCACACACCTGCCGACCAGGCTCTAGTTGTCTCAGGACATCTCAATGCCAAGAAGCTGTGTGTGTGTGTGTGTTCACATGTTGGCTTATGCACAACGCATTTCGCTTGTACTATGGCCCTTCGGCTCCACGTATGTTGGTGTTTGGAAGAGAAGACTACACCTATCTAGACTTGATGAGTGCCGTATCAGATCACTGTGGCGTCTGTGAGATATGTACAACTTGTGGTCATGTGACATTGATATGAACATCAAGACTTCGGCAGGGTGCCCGATGCAGCCTATCTCAAATAGATACAGGGTTTAAAATTGTAGACAGCAGGCCAGACATGCGCTAGTACAATTGATATTCTAGGATTTCTCGGTGGCTTAGCTTTAGCTCACTGCGCTGCTCAATATCACGAATCAAGGGGTCATGGTTGTGTTGTAACAGACAACTGGTGCAATGCGGTGCAAGGACGCTTTGCATAAATATACATACTTATTCAGCCGTTATTGCTAGTGTGCACTCTCTCACACTTCTATAGGTCAGTATGTGAGTATTTTGCGTTTCTATCACCTTTTATGTCGATTCTCTTTTAACATGCTACATTGTTTACCACCCTTTGGACTACTAGGTCGATACTCTAATTGGATATAAGGAGGCTATTTCTAATTGGCAGTCTGTTAACGTACGATGCTGCTTGTTTATTTTACAGTGGCGCCCAATAAGGTTTATACGGATAACCGTTGGATTGCAAGCAAGTTCCTTTCTGCCTCTGTAGTGTCTGGGGGTACAAATTATGTTGGTCCGATAAAAGAGTGTCCGGACAAGAGAGCATTTGTGTTGGATTGGATTGAAACTCATAAAATGCAAATATTGGCCAGTCCAGGTCGGATTTCTGTAGACAGACCTTCTGATGGAACCGTCCGGCCGTCATCTCACGATCTACGTCCGCAGATTTTTATGTTTGAAAAGTAAAGTTGTATAAATGAGAAAAAGTGGCTTTGGGATCACAGTTTTCTATCAAATAGGCTGTCCAGAGCCTGCAATTCTTTTGACGGTATAGTGTCATAGCCTAGTTTATCGACCCGGAGAATGATTTGTCAAGTTACAAAACGTCATTTGACGATTTTTTGAATGTGCGAGATCAATAAAGATGGTACCAATTTCTATACAAAAATGACGTTGCAAATAATTTAACCGAAGTGAATGTCGAAAATTATTAGTCAAACCTGATGAATCCGCAGCGGATAAAGTATGATTCATGTTCCAGTGAAAGGCCCCGTCCGGGTTAGGCCGTCGCTAGGGTAGCATCCATTATCGGACTTTCTCAATCTATTGTCATTGCAACCACTTATTCGCGCGTGCATTGTGCCAAATGTATGCTACTCATTGTAGAACCGGCTGGCAGCATTCCTTCCCAAATCCATGTGTGACTGAGAATGATCAAAAAACACTTGAATCCACGGTCGGACTATGGGTCATCTGCAATGCACCATCCACACACCGTATATACAGATACGAGGGAATATTTCCAGAAGGCATGTGGATGGAAGCCATCCAGTCACGCAGTGCAGTTGATTTCATGGCACGCACACTTCGATTCAGTCCAAAACACTTGCAATCATCGGATTCGCTCCGGAGTTTACCAAAGAAAATCAGAGCTCATCAAGGTTCACATATGTACAGTAGTTAAATCAAGGATTTTGTCGCTATGAAAGCGGAACTTGCGCGACTAACCGAGTTTAAAGAGTCAACTACGATGTGTGCACCGAGGTAGGTAAGGTGAACCCAGTTGCCGCATAACAATGCCTAAAAGATTTCAAATATAAATGAGCGAAGATAAGGGGTTTACACAAAAAAGGCCCGATAAAAAACGAGAACATAACGGAATATAAGGGTGAAGGGTCAGTTTCCACAATCCTGGTCCGCACGAGTTTCTAAGCATAGATTTGGTTTCCCAATCCGTATCGGTTGAAGTGCTGTGGAGCGGTGGTATTTGTTCTCATTTGGTTCATTGGTACGAATATGCCGGGGTGTGAGATGGTGCAAAAAGACGCTATCAGTAGTGATGAAAACAGTCGTAAGAAAAAATAGCTCGGTAATATATAAGCGATGCAGATTTAGAATAGAGCACCTACTCTGGGGCACATAGAAAGTTCTCATCTCCGCAAAACCAAATAGAAAGCGAGCACTGTATCAAAACAAACGCGAAACGGTGCTTGGATCTGCGCACTCAATCCGAAGCACATACGCGGCATCGTATTCGTGTTTGATAGAGAGAGCGGCGGTAAAGATAAAACAGTAATTAAAAGTATTTAAAAAATCTAATAATGCAAAGACCGGATAGTTTTGCGGGTGCAAGACGGATGTGAAAGAAGCTGATGACGCTACGTGGACGGAGGGTACAGGGATCCAGTGCTTTGACAAAAATAAGAGTATAAGAAATCGGTTCATCTGAAAGACTGATGTAACAAAAAAAAGGAAATGGTCTCATTAGACCGTAGTTGGTGGCGAAGGGAGTATGGGTGACTGGCCGATAGCGCAGCGCAGCCTCCACATTGTCTTGTCATAGTATGGACGCAAGTTCCTTGATGCGCTCTCGTGTCTTGTAGAGGTATGCTTCAGTCTCCCAAACCATCTGCAGTAGCATTTTGGTGTCGATCGTGTCCAATGTGACATGGAGAGATAAACGGGGACTGAAACGGAAGAAGGGAACTCCAAGGGACGAGCACCATGCGCTTGCTCGATCGACCACCGGACCTGTGAGAGGAGGAAGGCAAAATGAAACCATGAGTCCGTGGGAATGTCAATCCACAGAATGCGACTGCAGTCTGGATGTCACAAATGCGCCGTCATGTGGTTGGGCACGAGTTTTAGCTCACTCTATGGGCGTGCTTCGGTTCCCATGGTGAAGTTTAACACTTTTGTTGAGACTATGCGACAGGAGCTAAAACCCTGGCGAATTAATCGAATAGTATAAAGTCTCCGCATGGTTGCTATGGTACGTTAGGTGTAAACATAATGGAAAAGTAGCTTTCATTATCTGACACACACACACACACACACAACCAGGTGTTGGCCAGTGACGAACAGTCTGGGCAAAATAGTGAGACAAGGGGACCAATTGGCGAGATTATGCTCTAACAGTGAACCAACCTAACTCACGTGTTGTGACATGCACTAACATTTGTTGGGGAAGAACGAACGGCACATGGTTTCTAACTCTATATAGTAATTCTCCTTAAATCGAAAAAGCCTTCAACTCTGTAGATCGTGTCAGCTTGTATTACGGCCTTAGCCGTGAAGTGCGTGTTCATGCTGAAGTCTCTCTACCAGGGCTCCCGAAGCCTGGAAGGGTGTGAAAGAGAATGTCTCCTGAGTTTCCCACGATAAGTTGGGTTCGCCAGGGTTATTCCACATCACCTTTCCTCGCCAACGTTGTGCTCAAAATGATCATAAGTTACAGCATGGAGTGCGGGTTCCTCCAGGTTACCAAATGACTTCGTTGAGAATGTGGACGACACAGCGCCAATACAAGCGGTACGAAGTAATTTGACGCACGGCGCTGCACGCTTCGATACGTGCTTCGTAACCTCATTGTGCAAGGTACTGTTATAGAGCTGAGCCCACGCACCACAAATCGTAGGCACCATCGATCAGTCACTGGAGGTGGTCAGCCAGTTCACGTAACTCGATAAGGTTGTCACCTATGAAGGTCACATCTCTGAGGGGGTTATTTCATGTACCAACAAACACCACGTTGCTTTGCAGGGGCTCAATTATTTGAGGGGGAGGCGCATAACGCTGTACTGACGCCGGTGTTATGGTATGGATCAGAGAATAGGCTAATTAGCACAGAAGGCACTAAGGTATCAACTGTTTATGATCACTGGTGCTCTCAGAGTATTTTGCTTACATCTGATGGGAATACCAAGCGATCAACGATGAGGCCTGCCAATTGTCTTTTGGCAAGAAACCTTCCGGTGCCTCACTCGAGTGTGTACGCTAAGGCTCAACCGCTTACGCTGGCTAGGTCATGTCATCCGTATACCTGTTTCCTCTGCGTGCATTATATGTTATCTCTGCACCAAGGTGGGCGAAACCGCTAGATGGCCAGTTCATGACGTGGCACAAAAGTATGAGGAAATTGACTGGGAGACTGGGTCAGACTGGTGTATACCGACTTTGAGGATGGGGGCCCAAAATGGTCCACATCAGCGGTTAGAGACTGTCACTTAGTCAGTGAAATTCTCGCATCAAGCTGTTACTAAGCTATCCCGATTGATTCTAGTTACTTTCGCCGGACCCAATTTTGCGTCGTACTTCACTTGCGTTTTGCCTCGTAGATGTCTCCACTATACTACTGGCAGATAGGTATTGCGTTTTGCCCGCATGCGACAATGCATTTTACGGCAGGTTTCGTGATTGTTTGTACTCGCCAGATAGGCTGATTGCAGATCAGCGATTCGATCTAGGGACGTTGGGGCTGCCAGCCTACTGAGTCGCGGCATGCAACGATTGTCACATGATTATTTAGTATGAATAGAAGTTTGTGAAACCTAGAATGCGTGAGAGAACCATCACAGTCCCATAAAAGCACTATACCACCGTTCCATCCTCTCTGGAATCGTCTGGCTCCTGTGGGGTTAATACACGAAACCCGACTAGTATCAGTGATGGAGATCACTTGGCTATGTTGATGGTAACGACCGATGTGACCAGATGTGACATAACGCCGCTCAATATCCACCGGCTTGCACGTTACTCACGTGCAGAGGACACAGTTGGCCCCTCACCACACATTGCTGACGATTCCCGAAAAGAGGAAACGGCCGTATAGCGCTTTCACGAGGGGAATAATGGCTGTCTGACTGATTCCAGGTGTGCTGAACTTCTACTTATACCATCAACTCCCTGGAGACGCGAGTCCTGGTAACCGGATCCGCCGTGCTTCAGTGCTCGGATCATAGTTGTTCAAAAGAACCGAACTGGTCCATCGAGACTGATGGTGGTTACGTGGCGTTTAGAGTGTTTCAGTGCCATACAACCATTTGTCTGTAACGACTACCCGCAGTTTATCCCTGGAAGCGATGATTCGCAGTTCGGGGATTTAAAAACACTAAGGGACGGTTTAAAGTCATGAAATACGACAGATCTGCTGACAGAGCCCAAACAAGATAGATCAGTGCAACTGTCGAAAAACATGGTCAGGTTTCGCACGTTCACATATAAAGCGACAAGACGAGGTAGTAAGGGATTTTCAAATGGTGTACATAGGATAAGTTCCTTGTATGGTCTGTTACGCAGCACTTAGTACGGTACAGCATGGTTGATAGGATGTCATGTACGGTGAGTGGACCGATGCCCACTAAGGCACATCGCACTATGTAAAGCGACTTACCCTCGGACATGGTGGCCACTTCGACGATAATTCGGCCCAATGAACTGAAACCCATGGCGGAGCGGAATGTATCCATCAACGACTGTGGTCGAAACACATCGACCGTCTCGATGGGCTCAACTGGCATGCGGCCAGTGCCAAGGGAGACGACCACGGCGAGCGGAGTAACCGGTTTGTTCTGCATCCAAAGGAGAAGCCGTCGCCGGAACAATGATATCGATGAACATGTGGTTAACACGTTAAGAGAGATATGGAAAGAAAATAAGGGCAGCTAACAAGGTGCAACAGGCGTATTTAGCGACCGATGATATTTAGACACAATGGTCTTTTCGAGGCTAGATAAACAACCACACAGGAAGGTGATTTTCAGCCAATGCGATAACATGTGGCGGAGAAAGCCCAATGGTCTCGTTATAGTCTAGTTCGGAATCCAGTCTGTAATTGCCTATGAATTCTGGATCCGGGTATTTCGGTCAGCTGTCGAAATTTTCGGAAAATTTACAGACAGTAACTTGCTTGCTGAGACATGTAAGAAAGCTGAGCTCGGAGTGGTATGCTTTTACTCGAAACTCCGACCAATGACTATTAGGAACAAAGGCCGACGTCAATCGATTTCATTGTTCTTCGACTAACACAGAAGAAAGAGAAAAGAAAGGCATCCGCAGTACGCTGCTACGTAGAAACGTCGCTTCGCTGCGGTGCAACCACCATCGGTCGCATGCGGGCTGAGAATACTGCGAGGGTCGCCCTGTTCCTACGTAGGCACGAATCCGCGCCGTCGGATTACAAGACAACCTCATTACCTTTAGTCTACGGGCCAAGTCTCAAAAGTGGATAGCTTAGTTTGCAGCATCAAGAGCTATATGTAGAAAAAAATCCGAAATCGTCAGAGTGCGAATTACTAATTCACGAATTTCAGATTGTCAACACCACCGGCTTTGTGTAGGCATCCATAAATGGCGGGGCGGATCACTTTTACTACCAAAGGCTGCTTGTTTGATAAACTCTCTAATTTAAAGGATTGAGTTACCGCAGTGCTTGATCTCGCTCAACATAGAGCGAACTCCATGCTACGCGTGCTGGTATTGCTGCAACTCTATGGCTACTGGCAGAGAAGCATGTTTTATGAATTTCCCAGTGCTGTTTCCTGTTTGTTTGGCCCAGTGGATCAGATCATGGAAATTTCCACTCTGATGTGGTGACATCAACGGACGCTGCACGTGGCATACCTAACAAGTTATGCCCCAGGTGGAAGCGACAGTTGGTGTTGCGACCACCAACATGAGATGGCATATGGTACCGGCAGCAGGGTGACGCAAAGTTGGATTCCATGTCTGAGTAGAAAAAAAATCAAATTGTTGAGAACTCACTTGCAGTTGTTGAGCCATGTGCATTTCTTGCAATTCCGTGAGAAGGTCCAGCGTCGGGTTGTTCGATATGAGACCACCGTCTAGGAAACGACCACATGGCCGGAAGTAGGTGGGTGCAGCACCGGTGGCGCGAGCAGCCATCCAAACGAGCTAGCGGTAAGAGGGATTGGGGAAAGATTAGATAAGGCAACAAAATATTCTTAATATAGAATTCGGATGATATTCAGAAAAACAGATCAGTCATGAGAACAAATCGAGATGGTATCAGATATAGAGCAAAATGGGATTGTTCAGAAGAGACGGTAATAGTCTAGTAGCTCTGAGGAGGAAGGACATAACAGCCGACACACTAGCTGTCCTTGGGCGCTCTGGTACTGAGCGATCTTCCGAGCACGGAAAACGTAAGTGACGGTGAAAAACGTTGTCCCATGCAGATAACACTGCGTCCGAAGGCGAGAGTTTGAGTCGACATTCTCAGCCAATTACGAGGTCTACAGAATAGGTTGTAGGCCCGACAATTAAGTTACTGAGGCAATGGTGACTGATATGGGTCGGCTCATCGTGGCAACTAACGCGCGTCGTATAGAACAAATTACAAAGAAGCCACAAAGATTAGAGAGAGGAGTACCACATAGGAACATTCCGAGTCAATCCGGAATTAACTTGATAGCAAATTGAGCAAAAGGATGCCGGTTTGGATTTCACGGTGGTGCGTGTGTGTGTGTGCAGCAGCACTTTTGCGACCGACGTTAGGTATGGGTAACTCTTTTTGTATCCTGTAACTGGCAAGCACGTTGGCCGAACTGCAGTGACCGAGGAGATGAGAGCTGCTTATTCACATAGTCTACAAATTTCGCTCCAATACAAGAGGGGCCTTATGTATCCGAATAAAGGCATTCTCATCATTTAACACTATCGGCTACGGATGGTCTGAAACAGCTTCAGCACAAGTGGAAAGAGAAAAAGTGCACATGTACCAATGAAATAAATGGTCTCGCATTACCAAGCTACGACCACACCTCGCTAGGGAGTGTGGGGGGCGGGAAATCGTCGAAATACATATCGTGTTGACGGAATAACATTTCACCAAAACGTGAAGTTTTACGACACCATAAGTTCCGAGGTGAAAAACAACTATACTGTTTCGATGTTCACACTTGGATATAAGTAATTCCAGTAATCTTTCCTTACAAGTACTCTAGTCAAAGTGACAATCAATCACGTCGGCGATTACACCGAGTGTACAGGTAGGCGGATTGGCTTATCAACGGATGACCTGCAGATGCGATGATAAGTGCCGTTCTGCTGATTAGTAATACCATTAGAAAGACCGGTTTGTTACTGGCTCATGTGCTCATAGCAAGAGTGACCCAGCAAATGGATGGAGTGAGCAATCGCCATTGGGTAAGTGCTCCGCTGACGATATCGTGTGGGTAGCGACGGGACGGAAGAGGGCTAGATTCCGTTACACAATGTGTGTAGAGTACCACTCCCATCGTCGTGCATCTGGCCGGGGAGCCCTTCGCCCAATCTACCGCGTGGTAGAGGAGATCCACTCCAAAGGGACCAGATACCGCATGATTGCGGTGGCAAAAAGTGATTGCGTTTCGTCTCAACAACTCTTACTGCGTACCCGAAGTGCGATGCACGGCACTGATCAACCAAACAAGTCCCATCAGTAGCACCGTTGCAACTGCTGCCAAATGTTGGGAAGGCTACTTCACTCTGGTTTACAGCAGCGTGATGATGAAAAGCTGAAAGAAAACCTATTTGTTAAACCGGCTTTTCGAGAAAATCACATACAGATGATGAGGCAGGAGTTAAGAGGACAAGACTTCAGATGGCTGGAGACCTCATCGGGTGGGAATCGGCGACACTGATAGCTACCCTGGTTTTTGACCTTTAGAGTGCATGGGACAGTGATGAGGTTGGCTCGGTGCAACGAAAGCATTAGCCTGAAAGGTAATATAGACGCAATTCGGTCCCCCAGTACACGCCCTTTTCACAATGTATGATAACGGAACAGCACTATGTGGAGAACAAAGTTAGAAAGTTGAGCAGAGGTATGGAACTGAAACCGCTCAAATGGTGAGTGGTATGATTGATAGAACACACATAAAGAGGAATGTGGCAATGAGTTAAGCCGAAGATGGCTTGTCGGACAACCTCCACGCGGTGCCAACTGAATGGTTCGGGTCTAGCCCGTTTTGATGAATGGTCCGGCAGCAATGTTACAGGATGTCGTGGGTTTTCGTCTAGCAAGCATTCCCCCTATAAAAGGTCACAAACGTCTGCTTAACGATACTGTAACGTGGCGGTGGTGATTCTCCATTAGATTAAGCCAATGTCCTTTGCTTATCCAAATGATCATATATACTCCAGGGAAGCCAGTCATTTCGTAAAGAGAGTTCTCTTGATCCTTTCTCACACTGACGACCTCACAGAACATAGCTACAAATGCAGTGGCACATTTACAAACTCGTCACATCGCAACAAACATAAGTAAATCCAATATGTTGCTGGTAAACTTGTAACAACTTTGTGCCTTCGCGGATTATTAATATTTGTCGTGTCATGCTCATACCGATGCATACTTGCCTTGCACTGCCGAAGCAATGGCCAATGGGATCATCAATACCATGTTGAACCATACTAACAGCACTATGGTGTTAAATGGGCTGAAAACACTGATACGTATCAATTTGGTGGATACAAACAATTAAATGTGCCACAACGCGGTACTCGTCACTGTTTTCCTTCCACCTCCACACTTCCAAGTCGGGCAATGCTCACGGACTCTCACAGGCAGTCTCCTAATTGTTCTTCCGACACATCTTGCGCGACATGAACAAGTGAAGGAGTATACACAGAACGAAGTATGTCCTTGAGTTAAAGCTTTATGATTGGCGTTGTAGCAAATGTTAGCCGTAAGCTAGCTGCGTAGTAGATATGGTTTATGACGCCGGATGGCTTATTAAATGTTGCCTGCGCTATTCCATCCCTTTTGGATGGCAAAAACAGATCAATTAATTTCTTTCCGCCCGAATCGATTTTAGCCCTCGATTCTCGGTACTCCATATTTCTCCGAACAAACTTTTCGGGACAGCCGTTTCTCTCCAAAAGACCAGCTAAGAAATTCAGCTCATACGGAAGCGTGTCATCACTACATATCCTTCTTGCCCTTTGGGTTAAACATCTAATCAAGTTCCGCCTCTGGTTTACTGGGACAAAGCTGGAAAAATGTATATGATGTCAATTCCAGGTGGCTTTTCTGTGCACCCTGCGTTGGATCAACCCATCTGATCTGCTGATTTGGACGTCTAGGAAGTACATCGTACCATGGCGTTCGGATTCGAGGGTGAAATTAGCATTGTCGTGCGCTGGGTTAAGATGGGATAACATGTACTCTGTGAAATATCGACAGTCACACAAAATATATCATCCACATATCGACCGTAATATGGTAATAGGCTAATGACTACGCTCAGATAGTTGTTTTCTAATTTGCTCATGAATACATCTGTCAGCAGTGGTCCTAGTGGTGAGCCCATCGCTACCCCGTCCTTTTGTCTGTATACTACCCCATTAAACTGAAATTGTATGTTGCTAATACACTGCATGAGTAGCTGTTTCAAATGACTGTTCGAAAGGCCGACGTACAACTGATGTGATCAAACGGTGCCGCATACATGATCTATTATCTGTTCTAAAAAACATGTATCTGCTCGTACGATGTCTAATGACAATGGTGGTAATTGAGGGGTACCTAAGTCGACTAGGGGGAAACCGTAGTGCAGCGAGCGAAGACAGTTGGGTGAGTTATACCCACCCGATTTGTAAGCAGTTGCTGTTAGCGAAGAATATTTTTCTGTGAGAAGGGTCGTTGGAGCGATCGAAGTATATGACCGAGAGCACAGCGCAGATATAAAATGTCGTACTAGAAGGTGTCCAAAGAGAATGTGAGGCATCAGCCGACCACGGGGATGACGGTTTTGGTCAACTGCTAAAACAAAAAGCTTGTGTAAACATTGACTCGCATAAGCATCGAAGGTTTATCAGTGACACTCACAGTGCCTATAAATCACGAATACCGATTGAAGTTGCAAGCCCATTTGAAAGCAAACAGATCAAAAAGGAGGGTCGCTAGGGAAAATGCACGCAGAAATGCAAAAGTGTCACAATAAGTCACCTGCTCTGAGTCAGGAATCAGTGGGTCGAACTTGTAGCCGCCTTCGTTCTCTACGGGGGCAACCGGGTTGCTAGAATCACCACCGATGAGAAATCCGGAGGCGCTCATAAGTGCGTTGAGCACGGAGGAAGAACCGGCGACACTCTTTGTCTCACTACCTGCGCACTTGGCAGTCGAGGTGCTGTTGTTCGTCGGACGCTTCTTCTTGCTTGGCACTGCAGTTGCCGATGCCCTCTGCTTCTGCTGTAACAGTCGTTTGAGACGTACTCGTGGAGACTGATAATTGCGGAACATATGAAAGAGCGGAGGGCAACGATCGCTCACCAATGTAGTGATGGCTACCCTGTGGAATACGAAACACAAGCGTAATCGGTGATGAAGTATTCACAAGAAAAGAAAGAACTGTAGACCTGTGGGTAGTGAAGGAGAGGAAGGGGTAGTACGGCAAAAAGTAACCTGTCTCAAGCGAAAGAAGTTTGCAGCAAACAGCGACTCTATCGGTTGTTGACTCTACGCGAGTATGATCGTAGTTTGTCAGATGCGATTACCGTAGAAGAGTAAATTCATTCTGATTACGGAATGTTCCGGTGTATATGAATTGAGCCCCGATACATCGAGTTGAACAGTTAAGTTGATTTGGTGCAAATCTTGGTCACTGATCACTAAACATGATTAATGTATTTGTGGATAACCACTACCAATGTGTTCCATAATAACATTTCGTTCCTGTTCTGACTATTTAAATGCGAGCAGCTGAACCTAAGAAGCAAGTTTAGTAGGTCGTATTGACTTGCTGGTAATAACTGAGAAGCCACTACTACAGTTGGTGTGATGGAGTTAGATAGATTTCGATACGAAATGTGCCCGAATGATGGATTATTCTACTGTAAAGCTTGGTCATTTCTAGCGGCCGGTACACGTTTTCAGAGCACTCGTTTCAGAGAGGTCACACTAAGCAAATGCTGCTGGACCAAACGAATGAACAGTGTTTGCATGTTGAATCAGTAACGCCCCGGTGAATAGTAGCTAAGGGACGCATGTACTCACAAACGAAACCATGTAAGGCTAAGACATTCGCACTCATTCTAGTGCACATGATTCAACCAGTCTTCGCAATTCACATTTCTGACCAGCCTCCGCACAGTATCGACTTTTCTAAATAGCGTTTTCGAAACGGTCCGTTTAGATTGTGTCCAATACAGTTACTTACGCCTCGCTTCCTGGTTTGGTTTACGCACACTGTGCTACATGAAAAGTCACATACACTACTAATCCTGGTACATAAGTGAGGCGTAACAATGCTGTAGTCGTGCGTTGCTGGGCCAACAAAAGCGCCTGGTGCGACGTACTTGTCTCTATTCACTCACTTTCGGGGCTGTGTAGACCAGTGGTTCCCAATATTTTTAAGCATGTTGCCCACAAAGTGGGTTCACTATAAACGATCATCTAAAAATGTAGTATAAAAAGCTAAGTAGCTATCGCGTGTTTGCTTAAATTGCAGATAGTGGGTACTGTTTTTAAACACCTTCGATAATTCAAATAAATGAAAACATAATTTTGACCAATTCTTTTATTAAATCAAGTGATGATGTACGTTAATGAATACTGTATTATAGCGTAAATAGAAATGAATTCTGTACAACCCTTTCGAAATATGGTGAGACGTATGAAAATTATCAGCCGTAAATATCGTTATCGTTCTCACGTAACATTTGAAATATCTGACCCACGGTACTGCACGACGCACAAATGTGATATGTCATCGTAAGTGTGCAATCGTTCTCTGAATCCAATAGTGGTAAAATAAAAACCTAACAATGTTTTGAACCGCTGCACAAATGTGGCCTCCACATGTTTAGACAAACTATTCCAAATATTCACCACTTTCCGTTAGAAGCACAGTTGGTGGGGAACTCGGTTCACATCCGGCACCACAAGTTTGTATGTGTCCGCATGTGTTGCATAGCCCACGTAAGTGCAGCATTGGCCTCAGCATGGGGAAATCACCGAGATGTAGAATATAGTAGGTCATAACGAGACCGACTCGCACCCAACGGTAGGACAAGGTGTAGTGTCCTAGTTTCTCGCACCGGTCTTCATATCACAAACCACGCAAACTCGCGATGAGCCTAGTAGCAACGTGTTGGACACCTTCGATCATTTGTGCCTCGCCTCAGCTAATCGGAAGGTAGGCGGGTGAACCGTACTCTAGCATTGGTCTAATGATGGAGGAGAAGAGGTGAGCGGTAACCTCTACAGACCGTGCCGAAGCTAGGTTTGAGCGCCCAAAGCATGTGCAGTCCGTTCCGATATAGCCTGTTCGTGTTGTCCACGGACTTCAAATCGTAGCGTGAGAGTACACCTAGGTCCTTCACGGAGAGTGTGGGATATAGCGATTGGTCATCAAGGGTGTAGATTCAGCCGTCAGCACCCTTCCCCAGGATCATAAACACAGACTTGGCCGAGTTGACCGGGGGCTGACGAATGATTGCCTTTCTGTTCTTTACAAACCAATGAACTTCTGCAGGCCATATGGATAGGCGGTTGTGGTCTAGCCATAGTCGTCGGGAGCGTCAATTTCTCTCCAAATATTCATGTTGTGCGCAAACAAGGCACACGGCGACCGCAGAAGCTGAGGTACATCGTTGATGCGGATCAAGAACAGACTGGGTCAAAACACAGTGCCTTGAGGTAGGCCAATTTTAGAGGGATACCAGACAGTTAGATGGTTGTCGACCTGTACCCTCCACTTTCGTCCACCAAGCAATTCGCGGATCCACTGGTGTAGTGAGCCACCGAGACTGCGCATCCTGAGTTTGTGAAATATGACCTTATGGCTGACCTTTTCGAATGCTTTATTGAAATCGATGAATATCACATCGACAGACTTCTACTTGCTTATTGCCTGAAAGCATTCATGCCTGGTCACACGCAAGTTTGTAATGCATGAGCGGCCTTGCATGAAATCGTGCTGTGCGAGCATCAGGAGCTCTTTTGTCGATGGCAACTGCATCAATCTCTTCTTCATGATTTTCTCGGCAACCTTTGCCCATATATATATTCAACACGGGCAACAGAACAAGTGGCATAGTGCCAAAACGAATGGGAAATACAATGTACGAAGATGGAGCGGAAAAAACCGGTGTTCATGGGAATGGTGGGTCACAACAAGTCGGCAATTCTGCATGATTTCTTGCCATATCCGAAAGTGTTTCCAGCTACCGAAGTAAACAAACTTATACACCACTTCCGATGAATGACCTATCAGGATTAGATTAGGAGTAGACCTAGCCAGCTCTGAAGGAAAACATTTCATTTCGATGGTGCGAAGGTTGCTACAAACAGGGAGACAGACATCTCTAATCTACACAGGACATTTTAGGCCGCTTGTGAGGAAGCGCAGATTATAGTGATGTCGTCTGCACACTCCAAATCACGAAGTCGGTCCCTCGAAAGCAGCTTGACGCCGCTGGGTTCCAAGTACTTCAGAGCAATCCAACATTCCGTTTATAGCGAAATTGAACAGGTAGGGGGATGCTGGGCAACTCTGTCTCATGCCACTGTTGATACCAAAAGGGGGGAAAGTCCACCGGCCACCCGCACTCGGCCCGAGGTTTGAGAGTAGATGGCTTGAAGTAAGGTGACAAACTTCTCAGGCACTAACTTTCCCGGTAGACAACTCCAGAGAGCAGCTCTGTCAACTGAATCAAACGCGGCTTGTATATCTAAGAAGACAACGATCGTTGACTAGCCAAATGTTTGACGAGGATCGAGTATTTGGCGGAGTGTAAAGATGTGATCGATGCGACTGCGATCTGAGCGGAACGCAGCTTGCTCTATTTGCGTGCCACGTTGAGCCTCCTTAAAAGTAAAGCTGTGTGAATTCTGGAAGCAACACAGATGAGAACAATCCCTCTGTGATTGGCGCAGTCAGTTCGGGCACCCTTTATGAAGACCGGTACGATATCCGCTGGGCTCCGATCAGATGGGAGAACTTCAGTGACTCAGATTTCTTGGAGGAGAGAAGTTAACTACTGAACAAGTGAAGGGCCGTCATCTTTGAAAAGTGCCAGGGAGTTCATCTGGGCCAGGATCTTTGTAGCATTTTAAAAGGCGAAGCTCGTGGGTAACCTCAGTGGCGGATGGCGGTGGAACGTCTACACACCTGGTAGTGCTCTGGACTCCAGAATGATGGCTCATTGGTGTTGCTGGCCAATTAAACTGCCGCACGAAATGCTCGGCCCAACGCTCAAGTCGGCGTTTTTGTCAGTGGATTGTATCGCCATTGGTTTCACATGAAACTTCGCTTAGAGTCGGCCTTTTACCGCCAGTAGATCGGCTCAAGAGGAAAAGCTTATGGAAATTCCCTGAGGTGGCCGCCTGCTCCATCTCAATGACCCGCTGCGTCCACCAGGCCTCGCGATCTTCCCGGAGAAGCTGTTTGAGATCAGCGTTAGTAGCCTTGCGTAGTGAATAGTATTTAACGATAGCAGGAATTGCTCGACGGGCTTCGAGAATCTGGAGGGATCATGCAGAGATGCAGAGGTTGACAGGACTACTGGTGAAGCCACAGACCAGGATTGCAGAATTGAACATGGCGCCGCGGATGTGCGTCTAGTGTGTTTCAATGTCTATGCATAAGGTAGTCTTCAGTCGTGAGGCTAATGCATCCTGAAATGCACGGAGAAGGTTCGGAGCAGGAAACTTAGCTACGTCAAGCCGATTCTTGCGACGCTGCTGGGAGCCACCAAGACGCAGCGCGACTTTGGCACACACCAGCGTGTGATCCGAAGTGAGATAGGTACTCCAGATTAATCTGCAATTCTGTATGCTACACCGCCAGCGATAGCTAATGGCTAAGTGGTCAATTTGTGTCCATGGCTGGCCAGATGATGGGGGTCTCCAGGTGACGCTTTGAAGCCAGGATCCAGGCAATGCTCGAAAAAAAGGCTGTGATAGGCGCAAAGCTAAAATAGCCGATCACCGTTATCTGCTCTGCGAATGTCATGGCTGTGTTGACCACCGAGTTCACGTTCGTCAACTTCAAGTCGATCGACCTGCGCGTTAAAGTCCCAGGCGAGCACCACGATGTCGGTACGGCGCTTTTTACGGAGAAAATCGGCCGGTTGATCATAGAACTCATCTTTAACTGGCTCCAGGCTGCAATCGGTGGGAACGTGCGCTGCAACAATGAATAGACAGCGTCTGCTGGCTTCGCGCCTGGACAGTCGCACTGAAGTTTCAAGTCGGATCGCGCATAGTCGACTTTTAACAGGGATCGTCTAGCAGCGCGGCCTCAGCACGTGTGTTCAACGCGATCCCTAAGTCAGCATAACCAGTGGT